AGACCAAAGGTCCATCTAGCTCAGTAGCCTGTCTGCCGACAGCGGCCAACCCTAGGAACCTTGGAGGGGATGGACCGAAGACAGTGACCAAGCCATTTGTCTGGTGCCATCCCTCTCCAGCCTTCCACAAACCTTGGGCAGGGACACCACTCCTACGCCCTGGCTAAGACTACTCCATGGACCCAACCTCCATGACTTGATCTCACTTCTCTTTAAACTCTGTTCTAGTTCTAGCCTTCACAGCCTCCTGCAGCACGGAGTTCCACAGGTTGACTCTTTGCTTTGTGAAGAACAACTTTCTGTTACTAGTTTGAAGCCTGCTACCCATTCCTTTCCTTTGGTGTCCTCTAGTCCTTCTATTATGGGAACTAATGAAGAACTTTTCTTGATGCACCCTCTCTACCCCACTCATGCTTTTATAGACCTCTCCTGCAGCCCCCCAATTGCCCCCTCTCCCGAGATGGCAGCCTGCGGCAAGTGCAGCCAGTCTGATGGCCGAGTGCTGTGATGTGCCCAGTGTGGGTACTCCGGGCAATCCAAGCCAGGACTGCTTTGCAAGCAGGGCACCCCTGAGAACTGTCTGTCCAGGGTGGGGTCGGGTTCCTTTAAGCACAGCCCTCGGCGAGCCTGAGACAGCAGCTCCACGCTCTAAGTCCTACTCTGATGCCCTGCCGGCACTGCTTCCGGCCATCCTTAACCCCGGTTCAGGGTCCACTCAATGTGGACATGCTAGTTCGAATTAGCAAAACGCTAATTCGAACTAGTTTTTTATTCTGGATGCGTTAATTCGAATTAGCTTAGTTCGAATTAACTAATTCGAACTAAGTTAGTTCGAATTAGCGCTGTAGTGTAGACATACCCATAGCTCCAAAGATTTCTGCACTGGCCTCAGCTTGCTACAAAGTCAAATACTCCATTGTTGTGAGTTCCCATGGCATGGGATCCTTCAGTATCAATCATTTTTTAGTTCCAAAGATTGGGGATTTAAATAGGGAATCTTTGCTGCTCAATGACTCCTTCTCACAATGGATTCATTGTGCTAGTAGCACACAAAATATTGAACACAATTGTGGAGAGCTTATATTGGGCTACCTCACAGAGTAAGCATTAGAAATTAGCATCCAGGAGCAGAACATCTGGCTGGGCTCCAGCTAAAAAAAAATATATAACTTGATGAGGATTTATTTTTTAATTGAAAATGTTTCTTTCTTTCTTGTAAGTTTTAAATTGAGCTCAAATAGTGGTGACTTTTGCCAACCAATAGCAACGCCCAGCATTCAGTCTTGTCTTTGCCCACTTCTGCAAACACTCCATGCCTATTCTTTTTAAGCATATTGGGCCTGTGCCTGATAGGTGCTAGGTAAGCAACAACCCAAAAGCTGAAGATGCTCAGCACCTACTTTCTTATATACCAGGGTAATGAGCATGGTATAAAAACCTATATCAGTAGCACATTACGTGATCAAGTCATTAGCATTCTAATAACTAAAGCAGGGATTCTAGAAGCTAGAGCTTTTGATATTTAGTGTTAGCTTTGCCACATCGATGCAGCCTTGGAAGAGTTATCTGTCGCATCTCTCCTGTACCGTGTACAATAATACTGGACTATTGGATAGGACCTTTGAGAGGCTAAATTAATTGAGAGCCTGTTCAAACTACAGGTATAATTGGCCACTAGCGCAGCTTCTGCCATGATGGGGGCTGGTTACACAATTTAGGCTGTACTGCTGATCCCTATCATAGTTACAGAATTTTGTTGAACTGATCAAACTGCAATAAAGAATTGTTAAAATACAAAACTCCTTATGAGACAAAAAACGGTGTTACCCCATGATTATAAGTATGTGATGGATTCTACTTATGACATTAAATTTGTGTCAGGCACTTTGAGACATTATAAAGTATGGTATATGTGCAAAAAACCTGTGTATTATAGTATAGATGCCGGCTGTGTGTGTGTGTGTGTGTGTGTGTGTGTGTGTGTGTGTGTGTATATACCCACCCAAATATGGGCCCAGTTCAGTTGACTATATACTTGCACATGTATGGAAATTTATATATCCTATATATATTATGGATACAGGCCCCATTCCATGCACACATGCACAGGCACACACACACATACACACATGGGCAGTCAGTCCTCTGAGGCCTCACGCCCACCATAGGAAGGGGAGGAGGAGGAGCAGCGTGCTGAGAGTGCGCACTCCCCCCACCATGGAGAGGGGAAGAGCACATGTGCCCCAGCATTCGCAGAGCAGAGGGGAGGGAAGAGGCCGCATGGCCCAAGCCTCCCCATCCCCAGGAGCCGTGGGAAAGGAGGCGGTCACAGCCCAAGCTGGCCCCCAGGAGCAGCAGGGAGGGAGGAGGCCACATGGCTCAAGCCAGCCCAAGCCTCCCTGCCCCTCGGAGCAGCAAGGAGGGAGGCAGCAGCATGGCCCAAACTGCCCCGGAGCATGGGGAGGGCAGGCACTCCAAGGGCAGCAATGCTCCGCCGCCAGTACGCCTACAGCAGGTGTTCTGGGGGCAGACTGGGGGCGGGGCCACGCTGGCGATTTGGGAAGGCAGAGCCTTCCCCTGCCAAAACTACCAGAAGCCCATGCATACCCACACTGCCTAAAAGCCTACTGTTGAGACTACAGCCTTGTTTTCCTTTCCTGACTTTTTTTTTAATTCTTAGGAAAACACTATAGAGTTAGTCAAAATTTTATACATTTTGAATGTATATATTTTGGGGTGGTGGGGTTCAACCAGCTATATAGCTGGTTGAAATTTTTTAACAATTGAAAAAAATGTATTGACATTTCAGAAAAAATGTCAGAATCACAAAACTGCAACAATTACTACAAACTGGGGGGAAACCTACAAAATTTCATACTTATTTTTTACCAGCTATCAAATACCATTTCTGCATAAAGAATACCATATCTAAAGCAATGCATGCAACTTTATTTTTTCAGCAAACCCTGTACCATTGAGAGATGGTATAGAAATGCTGGTATTGTGTGCATAACATTACTTTAACTTCCTTTAAGGTGGGCAACAAGATTTGTTGCCTCGAGAGATAAATATTGACCCCAAGCAATATTTACCTGGAACAATAAATTAAGATGTTCCCCAAACTATGAAGCCAATATATGTTTCTACACATATTTTGAATGTTTTTACCAGAAAGATCTGGAGATTTCTGCATTATGGATATGAATTTCAAAAGTAGAACAGCCTTTTATGTAAGAAAGAACTCTAGTGTATGAAAGGCAATCAGAAGGGAAAAAAGTTTATTCACCTCTGGTGCAAGGAAGCTAAAATATGCATCGGGTAGCTGCTGGTTCACAGCAAACAACTCTTTTCACTTAACAGTTACATCTAGTTGGGATACAGATATTTATATATATGATCTGATAGAATAAAGTTTCTCTAGACTTCAGTATACTCCAGAAGAGATGAATAATAGACATTTACATCATTCCCTTTGTGCGGAACAACATTAAAAATGTTTTGTTTCCATAACCATTTCAGTCTAAAAGATCTCAAAGCATTCACTCATGCTCCACAAAGAGGAGTCATTTTAATCACTGCAGACACCCTGCATGGAATGTGGCGGCAATTAAACAGTACACAGAAACACTATTCAGCAGGCAAGCACGGCTATTTAGATATGTGCCTTTAAAAAAGGCTTTTAAAAATAATCAACGGAAATACAAACAAATTGTTTAGTTTGGCTGGGAAAATGAATCTTGAAAGTATCCAGCTAACTCCTATTATCTTTAACCACATCGCCAAATGTGTTTGGACAGCTTGGAGTATGTGAGACTGTTTTTTCCAAATGTTCTGAAAATCTCTTCATAATCCAGCTGCTGCTGCTGTAACACTGAGAAGTCATCATAGCCCCCAGAAGGCATCAGACGTGGGTGAGGGTGAGAGCGCGCGTTTGGATAACATTTGCTACTGTTTGGACTATTGTACTAGTTTTTGACTGCCACCCTCTCTGGCCTTTCCCTCTAGATTCCTGTTCCTTGTGGCTCCCATGCTTCTCCTTCTGTAACATTGTGTTGGGATGCTGTCATCTTTTAGTTCCATATCTGTAAATATTTGATTTAAGAAAAACATGATTACCGCCAATGAAGCACCTTTGTAATAAAGGATCTCATAAGAGATTTAGTTAGACTTATTTAAATTGTGCCCAGGGTTTTGGATGGGCATGATATACAAAATATTCACGAAAAATCTGGAAAATATCATAAACTCAAAGCCGTCTCCAAATCCTGCAGGCACAGACTTTCCCAGTACACCCTCTCTTCCATTTCCCCTCCCTGTAAACTTAAAATAACAGAAGTTTTACAGAAGGTTGCAAAGGGTCTGGCTCAAAGTCCACTGAAGTCAATCAAAGAGCTCCATTGATTTCAATGGACTTTGGATCAGACTTTAAATTTGGGTTATGGTGAACCATATAGCATGTAGGGGAGAGGGAGAAAGGGAATTTGTTTCCCTGGCTGCAGATCCTTCAGTTTGTGCGATTAGATCATTTGGGGCTCTTTGAGTTGAAAGCAAAAACCTTGCTCTTCACTTGGAAATCGGTTGGAAGAAATTGTAAATCATAGGGCACAAGTGCAATGTGCCTCTTATAGGAAATACTACTTAGTAAGTGGACCTTGTTCTGCACTAGTTCTGGCAGGTATAAGAGGCAAGGGGAGGCAGTGCCTTCCCTGAGTCTTAGTACTCAACCTGTCCCTTCTTCCTATCTCTACTCTGACCATTCCTGGAGGCTTTCACAGCAGGCTGTTGCTGCTTGCAGTGGATCTGTTAACTTAAAATGAAAAGCCGTCTAGCATGCCAGCCCTATTAGCATAACATAGAACCTATGAAAGAGCCATTAAGGGTAACAAAACCATGTAATAGGCTTTAGACAGGTAGCCCTGTTAGTCTGTTTCAGCAAAAACAGGGAAGATGGGAATGTGATGTTAATTAGCAATGATGTCACACTCCCATCTCTGTAGCCTTTTTTTTTTCTTTTTTCTTTCTTTCTGTCTGTCTTTCTTTTTCTCTTCCGCATCTGAGGAAGTGAGTTGTAGCTCAGCAAAGTTCTTGCTGTAATTCCCAAATACATTTGTTAGTCTTTAAGGTGCTACCAGACTCCCTGTCATTTAACAGGAATGTGCCAACTATGAATTTACTGACAAAACCAGTTGTGCATTACCATGTCTATAAGACCTTAGTTTAAAATTTACTTTAAATATTTAATTAGTTGCTGAAGATTATAACATCGCATTTCTAAAAAATCCTTTCACAGATATTTAGATTCAGAATCTGAGTTTTCAGCTTTAGCCTTAAATGCTTGGATTTTCCCTGTGATCCCCTCCTCCGTAGGCTTTTCTCTGGCCCCTCCCCCCAAGATTCCCTCAGCCACCAGGAACATTTTTTCTGCCCCCAGCTCCCCAGCTGCTGAGGATCTTTTTTCTCCTCCCCTCCCCCAATGCTGTGGCCAAGGGTCAGAAGAGAGGGAAAGGGTTTGGGACAGGGGGGCTCCTTACTCAGTGTGTCGTGTGTTGCCAGGCAAGTTGGCACAAGCAAACCCTGACCCTACTTTAACTTAGGAGAAAAGGAAGCTGTGTACCAGATTTGGTGGCCTTAGCTCTTACCCTTTAGGAGGAGTTCTTGAACAAATGGACTCAGAGAGAGGCACTGTAAAATATAGAGAGAGATTTTGGAATTAAATACAAACTATTTTTCTGTAAACCCTATAACCAGAGGCTCCAGACAGGAAAAAACTCTTTACCACCCCTCTTACTGGAAAGGAGAACGTGCTGTCATACAGAGCTTCATTTGCATTGACTGCCTATACACAATTCCTCTGGTGAAACTTGGAGAACCAGCATAACTCAAACATGAACTAGAATTTCAGGGGCTCCCCCAAAGAGGGGGTTATTTATTGTGGCAAAGAGCTTATTTCTAAGAAGTTAGTGATCTAAGTGCTCTTGGCTCCCTTTGGTGGGGGCTTTGCTGCAGGAGGTAATGCAAGCTGAGGGTTTCATTATGAGACAGAGTACAGACAACGCCATGGGAAGATACAATGGAGAACGACAACTTTGATGTGAAAGGTGAAGCAGAAGATAGCTACAGAGCCAAGCAGCAGGACCCACTCTTAAAACCCGGTTCACAGGTTTTTGGGGAGTAGCTCTGGCTTTTGTGCCACATGGACTCATTGGATTATCAGGGAATTTACAAACGTGGGTAGGCCAGCTTCTAGGGTTCTGAAATCCACATCCTGATTAGCTGATGATTATCCATGAACTGTTGTGGCCTTGTCTGAGTTACAAGCCATTGCCAGCTAGTTGCTCCTCTGACATTCTGCATCCATCCTTGCTGCTCTGGCCTTATTGCCCGAGTTGGCCACCTCGCCTTGACCACACCTGGCTGTACCTTCCGTTTGACTGGATTGCCTGGCATGCTTGCCTCTGGCATGAACTTGACCATGAACTGGGATTGCCCTTTAGCCTACCAACTCCGAGGCATTATACTCAGTGGACTCTGGTGATATCCTGCTTACACAACAGGCCCCTCATAGAGCTGCAGCAATAAAGTGGGCTCTGTGGTAGTGCCGGCAGGCAGGTCCAGGTCAGTGTTCCCTCTAATCTTTTCCATCCATGTGCAGGTTTTTCCATTCATGTGTGGAATAATGTTTATGCGCACTGTGTCATGTGCACCACCAGTAGAAACAAAAAAACCTAGTTGTGGGAGCTCTGCTAATCAGCTGGGCGGCATTTGACTGTCTCCTGAGTAACTGAACAGCCACACAGCTTACAGGGAATGCTGGTCCAGGTGAGTAGCTCCCTTGGGACTGCAGGATCTCTTGAGTACTGCTACTTGCTGATCCAAAATAGCAGTAGACTGTACTGCTTGGTGTGCCAGGCTGCCTAGCCCTGATCTGTGGCATTACACTCATACATAGGCTGTTTGTCTTTCACCAGGTGTATCTTTTCAGGCCCATATGCAGGAACTTCTGTGGGGGTGCCTTTTCTTGTAAATGTGGACCACAGGGGTGTGAATGCACCCATCATGGTCCCCCAAATAAGAGGGGAAATTAGCCCCAGTCTTCCCCTAGCTGGTCAGAGCATGTGGGAGGGAGGCTCGGGCAGCATGCTGCTCCTACCTTCCCCTGGCCGGCTGGAGCATGCTTACATGGGGAATCTTGAGGGGTGCTTTCACACCCTTTTCACACACACGTGCACACACACGCATACAAGCCTGCTTTTGTTCCTCTGTACTTCTTACACATTTGGGATTCTTATAGCAGGCGGTTTCCATACAGCCTCCCTGTTCAAGACAACTCACCTTCTGAGTTTTCCGTGCAGCCCCCCTTGCTGCCTATTTTTTCTACTGATAGTCCCATAATGACCAGGCTGGTGCTCATAATCCCCCAACAGAAAGTGTTTGCTCACAGCTGAGGTCACAGACTTCTTCATTGTGTAGCAACCCCAATGATCAGGCTGCAGCTGATAGCACATTGTCATATGGGTAGGGCCCTACCAAATTCATGGCCATGAAAAATTCATCCCAGACCATGAAACCTGGTCTCCCCTGTATGAAATCTGATCTTCTGTGTGCTTTTACCTTACACCATACAGATGTCAAGGGGGAGATCAGTGCATGTCAAATTGAAGGTCCTGGCCCAAAAGGGAGTTGCAGGCAGAACATGGGGCTATTTCAGGGGGTCATGGTATTGTCCAGCCTTACTTCTGTGTTGACTTCAGAGCTGTGTGGCATATCATACCACACCAGCCTTACTTCTGCACTGCTGTTGACAGTGACTCTGCCTTCAGAGGTGGGATTCCAGCCAGCAGCCACCACTCTCCAGCTGCTGAGCTCTGCAGCCAGCATAGAAGTAAGAGTAAGAGAACTGTAACCCCCATACAATAACCATGTGAATCCCCTGTAACTTCTTTTTGAGTCAGGATCCCTACAATTACAAATACCGTGACATTTCAGATTTAAATAGCTGAAATCATGAAATTTACCATTTTAAAAATCCTCTGACCATGAAATTGACCAAAAAGGACCGTGAATGTAGTAGGGCCCTGCATATGGGGACCAGGGGATGGGTGAGGTGGTGAAAGGGATGTTCTCCTTGATAGCTGAGAAGGCAGTTCAATGGGTTGTGGCTGAAGTTATCGAAAGGGGAGGTATTTTACTCTCTATGTGCACAGATATTCTGTTGCTTTGTTTCCCAAACTTCTGACACTATGCCCTGTTCACTAATAATGGTTTCTGTTAAAACTTAAAAAACAACAAATAGTTGAGTAGCACCTTAAAGACTAACAAAACAGCTGCGTCTAGACTGGCAAGTTTTTCTGCAAAAGCAGTTGCTTTTGCGCAAAAACTTGCCAGCTTTCTACACTGGCCACTTGATTTTGCGCAAAAGCACTGATGTTCTACTGTCCGAAATCAGTGCTTCTTGCGCAAATGCTTTGACGTTCCCGTTCGGGAAAAAGCCCTTTTCTGGAAATGTTTTTGTGCAAGAGGGCCAGTGTAGACAGCTAAAAACTGTTTTGCTCAAAAAAGCCCCAATGGCAAAAATGGCAATCGGGGCTTTCTTGCGCAAAACCGTGTCTAGATTGGCATGGATGCTTTTCCGCAAAAAGTGCTTTTGCAGAAAAGCGTCCATGCCAATCTAGACACTCTTTTCCGCAAATGCTTTTAACGGAAAAACTTTTCTGTTAGAAGCATTTGCGGAAAATCATGCCAGTCTAGACGTAGCCAACATGTAGAAGGTATCATGAGTGTTCGTAGGAACAACCTACTTCTTCAGATAACACAGCTGGGATGCTTGCAAGTAGGGAAGTCCTGCCTGGTAATGGCACCTGGGGTGTGTTCTTAATGTTCCTAGGTTTCTGGGTAGAGGCTTGAGTTTAGCTGTCAGGAGGTGACTGGAGATATTTTGAACCTGGTCCTTTTTGATGCCATTAACCACCTGTCAGAAGAGTTCCAGTGCTTGCAGCTGACTAGTTTCCTAGGTTTTATCAGCTTCTGCTAAGAGCCATGTGCTGAGGTAGGAGTATTTATGGTTGCTAAGTGGAGCAGGGTGGGACTTGCTTACCCGCCTCACAGTTCCCAGCCTGACCAAGTTGCTTCAGAAGATGAGAATGGGTCAAGAGAGGAGTGGCATGGAGCTAGAAGTGGTGACAGTGTAAAATGGGAGGTGCTCATGAGGGGAACGGTCTGATGGGTGGGATATCATTATGGGGGGAGAGCTAGTTTGGTGGTTTGAGCATTGGCTTGCTAAACCCAAGGTTGTGAGTTCAATCCTTGAGGCAGCCATTTTGGGATCTGGGGCAGATCTGTCAGGGATGGTACTTGGTCCTGCTGTGAGGGCAGAGGACTGGACTCAATGACCTTCCAGTTCTATGAGATAGGTATATCTCCACATTATTATGAGAGTGCTCTGTCTCTACAATATACCTGCAGTTATTGGAATAGCATGGGGGGAGGCAATTGATGTGGATTTTGTATGAACACATGAGATGGCAGGAGCCATTCAGCATGGGGCGGCTTTGCTACTGGTTCATCCTTTTTCTCCTCACAGCCCTGACTAGGGATCTCTCTCTGCTTTGCCTTGCTCAGCTTCTAACAGCAAGGCTGAAGAGGGATGCAGCCTGCACTGTATTCTCAGGGGGGCAGGGGTCATCCCTGCTCTGCCTTCTAGGTTCTCAGCTTCTTTCCTGCAGTGGTGAGGCTGTGATCCTGGAGGGGCAGAGCAGAGAACGCACTGCTGAAATGACAGCCTCCCCTGTACCTTGTACCTGCTGGGATAGGGTGTCACCAGGCCAGCAACAGCACAGGGAGAGCTCTGCTGTCACAGACCCACTCTCATTTCTGTGGCAGCATGACTGGGGCTCAAGGGTGCTGGAGCAGATTTTATAGTGGGGTGCTAGGACCATTGACCCAAACTGTAAGCTCGCTATACAGTGGAAACCATTTCCAGCCAGGGGTGCAGCACTCCTAGCTCCGGCACCTAAGGCAGAATGGAGAAGGGTTTCTTGCACTGCCATAGCAGGCCTTCAGCAGCAGGGTGGCCTCCCCTGCAGCAGGGGGTTCGTCTTCCTCTTCCTCACAGTCCTGGCTCTTCTCTGTTAGCCATACCTCCGCATTATCTGAACTCCGTTTTTTGTCCCCCAGCATGAGTTACATGCCATCTGCAGCATGGATCTCATGCTGAGGTACAAGGAAGAAAATCAGATAATATGGAGGTTCAGACTTGGGTTTTCAGAGTCTCTGTACATAACAGTTGACAGAGAAGGTGCCAGTAGAAGGTGCTCAAGAATATGGAATACAATTCTTGGGTTTTATAGGCGCAATCGGACTTCTTGTTGGGAATTGCAAAAGGCCCTCTCTGTACCATCAACTCTCTGCAGCTATGTTCCACTATTAGAGTGGTGGGTGTGATAAGAGCAGTCAAGGGGCTTGCTTCTTTCAAACATGGGAGAAGGAGATGGGGGAGGGAGCAAGAAATGCAAGAGTAGTGCTCTCTTACTGAAGATTTAGAATACTCCTTTAATAATTCAATATCCTTGTAATAAATATCACTGTGTGACACAGCAAGCAGCCCAGACCTGCAGCACCGGTAGGGCAAGGGGAAGTCTTTGGCCCTTTACTGTTGTGTACTTTTAGGGCACATCATAGCACGGACAAGTTGATGCTGTAGACAAAACTGTTACAGAAATTGAAGATGCTGCTTTCATTCAGTGAAACGGCAATGCTAATTTTAATCTCCATCCAAAAATAAATTGCGAAAAGGCGAAAAAGACAAAAGCAATTTGTGGAGGAAATGGAAAATATTGTCATGCTTTGAAAAAGGAAATATAATAAACAGGTATGGTTAAAAGGGGAAAAAATGAAAATGATTTGACCTTGGCCTTTTAAGATGAGACTCCTGCATGTAATTGCTTTGTGGGTTGAATTCTTCTATGTAACGACAGGCCTTTTGTCTTTGTTCAATTCCTTCTTTTACCGATTGGAAATGAGAAACAGGGAAGAAATATGGTATTTTCTTACATGATGCAACAAGATGTTATTCTTCTTGGGCACATGTAAAATAAATTTATGACAAAAACATGCCTGAAACGCCAGAGGAACATGTTAGCTTTAGCAGAATACTGGTGTATATATATTCACTGCATAATGGAATTGAAAGCCTTTTTCTTAAAACAGAACGAGGATGAATGGCTGCATTTTACTGGAGAGCATGATCAAAGTTACACATATTTCATATTTTGGATCAGGAAAAAAAGTTAATAAGTAGAATTTCATGTGCACACAAAGATGGATATCTAGGTTATTCAGTATGCTTGGAGCCCATAGAAAGGGAATTTCATTGATTTGTTATTACAGGCAGTCCCCGACTTATGCGGATCCGACTTACATCCGATCCGCACTTACATAAAATCATAGAATAATAGGACTGGAAGGGACCTCGAGAGGTCATTGAGTCCAGCCCCCCGCCCTCAAGGCAGGACCAAGCTCCGTCTACACCATCCCTGACAGATGTCTATCTAACCTGTTCTTAAATATCTCCAGAGAGGGAGATTCCACCACCTCCCTTGGCAATTTATTCCAATATTTGACCACCCTGACAGTTAGGAATTTTTTCCTAATGTCCAATCTAAACCTCCCCTGCTGCACTTTAAGCCCATTACTCCATGTCCTGTCCTCAGAAACCAAGAGGAACAAATTTTCACCTTCCTCCTTGTGACACCCTTTTAGATATTTGAAAACCACTATCATGTCCCCCCTTAATCTTCTTTTTTCCAAACTAAACAAGCCCAGTTCATGAAGCCTGGCTTCATAGGCTTCTCTAGACCTTTAATCATTCTTGTCACTCTTCTCTGTACCCTTTCCAATTTCTCCACATCTTTCTTGAAATGTGGCGCCCAGAACTGGACACAGTACTCCAGCTGAGGCCTAACTAGTGCAGAATAGAGCGGCAGAATGACTTCACGAGTTTTGCTTACAACACACCTGTTGATACAACCTAAAATCATATTTGCTTTTTTTGCAACAGCATCACACTGTTGACTCATATTCAACTTGTGGTCCACTATGACCCCTAGATCCCTTTCCGCCATGCTCCTTCCTAGACAGTCGCTTCCCATCTTGTATGTATGGAACTGATTGTTCCTTCCTAAGTGGAGCACTCTGCATTTCTCCTTATTAAACCTCATCCTGTTTACCTCTGACCATTTCTCTAACTTGCTAAGGTCATTTTGAATTATGTCCCTATCCTCCAAAGAAGTTGCAACCCCACCCAGTTTGGTATCATCTGCAAACTTAATAAGAGTACTCTCTATCCCAATATCTACATCATTGATGAAGATATTGAACAGTACGGGTCCCAAAACAGACCCTTGAGGAACTCCACTTGTTATCCCTTTCCAGCAGGATTTAGAACCGTTAACAACAACTCTCTGACTACGGTTATCCAGCCAATTATGCACCCACCTTATCGTGGCCCTATCTAAGTTATATTTGCCTAGTTTATCAATAA